ATAAATTCTGATTTGTACGCCAGACATCTGCTAGATCAAGCGAACTTATTAGATGCGTATTTGCGGTTCGACTCGATAACGCACTAAGATATGTGGTTAAATGATTTTTTGTTAGCACATTCGAGCCTAAGTTGAACTGACGGTGATTTCGCGAATGAATCACTTGCATAGGAAGAAGAGTTTTCGTGCGAAATGACAACAAGAAGCAATGTTTCATGTGATAGTAAAGCTGTGAAAATACTAAGTTTTGATGTGGAGTCACACATGATTGCGTGCTGAAAATGTTTTTGTCTGATCTGTTGGATAATATTCACATTCGCTGATGCTTTGAAAGCATTTTGAGAAAACTTTCTCCAGATCATATGGTTTCGGGAATTTCAGTTCTTTTTCATTCTAACATAATTTATATCATTCGATGTTGTGCTTGTCATTCGAATGACATGTGAATCAATTCTTCATAGTCTGATGGTGATATTGTCAACAGGAATTCTTCATCATTTGTATTTTAAATGTCTTTATTTGATTTCGATTCAGTTTATCTTCTTCATATCAATACCAGTATGCATATGCTATATACAGAGAATGTTCTTCAATGAGAATAACCAGTGACACGATATTATAAGTATGATAGAATATATAATGTGAGAACGAACATATCGAACACGATTTCTTTTGAGAATGATAACAGAATGGTTTGAACAATGTAAATACAACAATAAAGATAATTATAGCAAGAACTGGGTTCGAGAAAGTACAACAACCGTACAACAACGACAACATATAAACGCAACAAACAATTATATTAATAAAATAATTGCGTCGTAACACGTTTTTGAATGATTTGCTTGGAGATTAGTATCTATCTCCAAGATTGAAAGAAAAAGAAAAGACATTTCATACCTTACATAACAAATAAATAGATAACGTTAATAGTGAATATAATGAAACAAAGACGATAAGATAGAATATTTCTCGACTTGGTCGAGCCTGCCCTCCCGTTTAAGTTTACATTCAATATATCAGTATTACATATATTCTTCAATAGTGAATAGCACGCAAAAAACAATTCTTAACACCTCTCAAAATATCCTTCTGTGACTACAATTCTATATAATACCCTAATAATGAATCCTAACTGAATAACCGTCAGAAGACAAGCTCATAAGCTCTCAAAATATCCTTCTGTGACTACAATTCTATATAATACCCTAATAATGAATCCTAACTAAATAACCGTCAGAAGACAAGCTCATAAGCACAAACATAATCGCAAAAAAAAAAAAACAATCAACCATAAAAATTTTAAAATGCATTGTGTGAGATGAAATATTGACAACAAAGATTACATGTTATGAACACTGATCAACTGATCTCGTTGCAAGTTGTTCTTATTCCTCATAATATTTCCTATGGTTCACACGATCCTCTTGAAATGGGAAATTCAGAATCAATCAAAAAGCTACGAGAGGCAGTAACAACACATTGCTAACAATTAACTAGTGTTGTAGGTTCCTCGCACACGTTGCGCTCTCGAATTGCTGGCTCAGGCATCCAGTATTTACGGATTGAGACGTTATCGTGTAGTCTCACTATGCATGGCGTGACTCTGCTGCCACAACCTGATATAATCAAGCAAACATCATTCTCAGCTGACATTGTTTGAATGATATGGAATTTCAGTTCTAAGAAACGCAGCACATTTTTAGATATTTTTCCTCTCGAAAACTGTCCACACTTCTACACTGCAACAAAGAACACTCTCATGATGAGATGGTTACTGCACACTCACTTCAAATGCAAGAAAAGCACGAAGTAAATTTTGAGAATGACGTTAGTTATGAGAGATACGTGTGAAAGGTGGCTTGAAACGACAACGAAATTAGTTAATAAGCTTATAAATGAATCCTTCAAGGGCTGGTTGATTGCCGGAGTGAATCCTTCAGGGGCTGATAGATGATAAATGGTTGGGAATGTTAACTGCCGAAAGAAGCATAATACAATAAAACAAAACTTATTCGTCAAAGTAAAGAAAACAACGATCAAATGAAGACGATATGAATAGCGAAATAATAAGATGATACAATGAGCCAACTGAAGCGTAAGAATACACGGACACATTTACTGGAATACACAAGAATGATACTGACTATATTGATGCATGATACATTGAAAATCGTTCTACTTAAGAATGTAAATCGGGGAATCACATGTAGCAGTAAGCTACTAGAATGAAGTCATTTCATTGGATCACAAAATCACTTGATCATTACTTTCTTACAACTTCGGAAGCTCACAATTTCAGAAGCTCATCAATTCGGACGAAAGTCAAACAGAATGTTATGTATTCGAGCACCAATGTAAATGGCAACATGTTTTCGTTTTTCATAATGTGATGGATGATTTTCAATGTACGAAAGCATTATAAACGAGCTGGAATGCAACAAAAGCATCAACTAGATAAAAAAATGCTCAGTTAACGAATTCCATTTGGTGAGTTCCCTCTACTTGAAAACAACGACACAAATAACAACAACAACTGAGTTCATCTGAATAAAACTTCTGGATATCACACAAACCGTAGCAGTTAGTTGAACATAGTATTGATGTTACGATGATGATCGGTCAGTCGATTTTTCAAGAAGTACCTGGTGCTGTACATGAAGATGTGCTTGACGAGAACGGACTGAGACTATGCGCGTGGAAATGTAAAGGACTATCACCGAGCAGCGGTGTATTTGCGTACGAGCTGGCTGGGGCCACAAAATCACAATCTTCTCCTGCCTGAAATCGACCGCATAATTTTTGACACAGCAAAGATGGTAGAAGATCTCATGTAGATAGATCTAAAAAGAGCGTAGCCGAAATTTTGAGTTTTTCAACTGAGCGATTGTTTTGCTGAAAACGAGTTGTCCGAATNCATACTTTCAGGCGTCAAATGGGCAAAAAACAACGGTTGCATTTATCATGAAACAATGGTCGCATGTAATCTAGCAGCAATGCAGTAATGAGGATGGATTTATAACTGACCTTCAATAGTTGTAACATTCACGAAAATGAGTTCAGGTGTACGCGGTAACATCTCCGAAACTGATATTGATTGAACAGCAAATGAGAGTTCGTGAACTGCTGCGATCGCTTCAAGTTCTAGTGATGAGTCACCACGAGACTGCGGATTTGTGCCTTGTAGACTGCGATTATGAGTGGACACTTTACTCAGTGATGGAAGAGAGCTGAAATTTGATGAGCGTGAACAAGTTTGCCAATGATATTATTGTATGCTAATGATAAGCATTAGCAAACTTTATGAATTCATTTGCCTTTGTTCAAGTCTATGTTCAGACCAGATTGTCACGTATCATTTGGACTTGATTACTTGTAAACTTTTGCTTCATGTTATACATCCTCACTATGAGTATTTGATGTCTCCAGTTTATTCAGACAGATCCCGGATATGAATAAGAATAACAATCTTGTTATAATATAATCTTATCGTTTCTTGGTGACGACGGTTCCAGATGCTATTATATTCTGGTTTTTGATCACTAAACGGCAGCAGTAAAAACGCATCTTATCACAGCTGTTTTTTACAATCAAGCAAAAAGGAATGTAGTGTTTTATATAAACAAACACCCGCAAAAACAATCTTGCTCAATAACACATAGCTGCTTAAAGCAGAGATCTGAGCCATTGCTTTCATACAATTCCGGCTCAACGATAATCACGTGCTATTATTTCGGTTAGTTCACTCAAAACATTATTCAACATACAACAATTGCAGGTGATACTATGTGGTTGTGTTTGTTTTCTTTAAATGATATTATCATGACACAAGATGTTATCGAAGCAGTTGCTTGCACATATTAACACCGTTCACCAGCTCTCTAGGCAATTGTTGTTTTTATCAGTTTCTCTTAATAATAACATCTCTCTTGAGTTGGATAACAAACAAATATGCAGTTAAGACAAACATCGTTCGTTCGTGTGTCAATGTCAA